GTCCAAATCATCTTAAACTACATGTTACTACACATTGTTTCACTGTAAATAAAATGAATTTATTATTTCTTCAAATCAGATTTGACTCCACATCCTAACTTCCTGTGTTTTAGTTCTCTAAACATCCAAACATCATCTCCTCTGTCTAATCTCTGTCAGGAGGCCGTCCCGTAGTTTTTTCTTATTAAACTATTCATCATATCAGCCTCATCAAAGATTAAGAGTACCCTCACAGTTCATTACAAGATGCCCTGCTCTTTATTTCATGAAGTAATTCATCCATAATGCATGTGTATGCTGCACTTTTCAGGGGGCCTGAGAGACTGAAACACATTGGAATTCCACAGACTCAGAGTTTGGGAAGATGGGGGGAGTTAGTACGTTTGTTTTGATAACGTCGGCGTTTCGCAGCGTTCCTTGTATGGGGTNTATATATATATATAGTGTTGATAAGCCTGAGTGGTCTGTTGACTTACTTTTGTATTTGTTCAAATAATTGTTATGGGCAGGTTACAATATTTTTTTTTTGTCATAAATCATGTCTTGTGATTATTTGACAGGAGTTTTACTTTTAAACTGTAACTGTATTTAATTTAGTTATGATGTAAATACAATAAAAATTAAACCAAGATTTAGAATAATTATCATTTTGATCCATACATTGGTAATGTCTGACTGGGCCTTGTGTCACAATAAATTGGGCTCTGAGGTCAAAAAGGTTAAGAAGCCCTGCTCTAAACGATGGTTGTTGTGTTTCTTTGCAGAATCCAGGTTAATTAATCTGTTAGGCTGACAGGGTTTTAAAAGTATTTCTCTTTCATTTCTCTTGTGGGCTCTGTACCCTGTGCCCATCAGGCTCACAGACCTTCAACTGTTATAGTTGGTTTTTATTGGATTTTTTAGGTAATTTTTCAGGGTCTTCTATTGTAAAAATGTAACCAATTGGTTAATAACAAATGGGTCGTTTTTTTTTTAAAAAAATTTACAATCCTACTGTTGTTGACTATCGTTTACTTTTTGATTTGTGCAAGACTTTTTTAAGATTCCACACTACAGAGTAAGTCCTAAAAGTATGTAGGATTTGTTTTGATATTGTATTGCAAGATCTGCTGTGGGGAGGCGGGTGTGTGCGTCTGTGGAGGGAGTGTTGTAGAGCAGCAAGGTGTGTTTGTTTAAGTTTTTATGTTAAGTCCACAGTTTTCTCTGAACTCCCTACTGCAGTGTAAACGTGATCTAATAGGGTCAGTCCCACTAGTGAATTGTTGTTTCTGCTGCTTTAAGGATGTGTTTGAATTGTCCAACCATTCATTGTACAGTTCACTATTTAGTGAGTCAGCTGTTTTGTAGAGGTGTTTAAAAATTTTAAAAGCAAATTTTCATTAACTGAACAGTGCCRGAGAAACTGATCATGTGGTTCAGTAAAGGTAGCGTACAGAAGTTGTACATTACATCAGTGGAAAAAGACCACAGTGCACTGAWGCCTGATTTTTAATTTATTCAGCTGACTGAGCAGGCTTGTCCACAGCTCTTTGTGGTTTTCAGAGTCCATCTGTCTCAACTAGGGCTGCCACGGTTAATCGATTWATCGACGACTAATCGATTATTAAAATAATCGATGACTAATTTAATAATCGATTAATCGTTTTCTTTTCTTTGTTKTTTACTTTGTTTTTCTCTCCAGACTGCTTTGACACCTTCCACTGCCACGTCTGCCTTTCTGTCCTTGACACACATGCACAGTAGTGGTAACTGGGGTAGGCCGTGGACGTCACAAGA